ACAATAATTTAACAAATAATTGGCTACACATGCCACTTTGCGGCACATGCTTATTTGCCAAAATACTGTTATTTGACAATTTTTGTCTAATATTGTATACTTATCTTTCAAAATATATTTGCTTCAAGATGAATTAAATTATAATATATCTCGCTATTATTAATTGCTAGCTTTATATTATTTGGTATTCTAGATGAGGTATTAGTTAAATTTATTTTATTCAAATCATTCTTTACTACTAAATATAAATAACATAGCCATCTTGAAGTGGATGGTTGATAAATATTAGCTATTTTATCTGCTTTAGCTAAATTAGTCAAAATTGTCAAAACTTAAAAAATAAAAGTAACTATTTCATTATGAATCACAAAGTGAAGCTCTGGTTTATCCACTATAGATCTAAAAAAAATCACTATATATTTTTGAAAAACTTTTCTTTGTAATTTATAGAAACTTTCTAAATTTTTAGTTTTAAAATCCTTGGCCTTTAAAATTGGCAAATATCTAATTAATGCTTTGAATTCTAGTTTATTTTTCTGGTTATTAAAAATATTACCAAGTGATAAGAATATTGGATGACCAGAGGATTTACTCATATAGTTAAGAGTTGTTGTATCCAAATAGAGTATAATCAATAGTAATCAATGCCCAGGAAGTAATATATATTCTTCTTACCTCCACCAATTACAATTATATTGTTCTTTAAATACACAATGCTTTACGCTATTTATTAATTCTTTTTTATTTTTATATTGAAGAACTAATAACTAATTGATACTATTGATTATTAATAAAGACTTTATAGTCTTTATTAGTAAAATATAAATTCAAAGTTTTGAAATATTGTAATTGGGATGTCTTTGAACATTATATAAGGGATGGTGAAATTGTCTAGAAATTCTTTACCTATTCTTGTTAGTAAAATATCCAATCTTGAATATTTGTTAAAGAAGGTTACAATAGCATTACCAGCTAAGTTAGATAGTTGATACTTATTAACTATCTCTATAAATTTATAATAGGTATCATTTGGCTATTCAGCAGTTGGTAGATATTTCAAATTGGTAAAAGTATTATTATAAGATACATCTTCATAGTCTTCAAAATCACATTTCACCAAGGAAGACATATTTGTTAAAAGAGATTCAATTTCTATATTAGAATGAAGTGATATTAATATATCTTTATATTAAAAAAACTTAATATTATACTGCATTTTATAACCTATAACTTATAACTATTTATATAACCAATTTATCTGATAAACTTCAGTATATATAGAAGAATCTGATCCGAATTAAGATAATTACAGTATAACTTCATCCTATAACAAATATAATTGCTTAATAATACTTTTAAGAATCATCTAATAATTTTATGAATTATAAATATTTACTCATATATTATAGAGATATTATAATCATATTCTAAAAAAGAATTATATTCTAGAAAAATATAAATGCTTTTATTAACTTGTTTAGTAAAAACAGCTTGAGTTTTTTCATATATTGGATCATTAACTTAAGGATAACTTTGTAAAATATGTTGTTTCAATGCAAAAAATTTGAAACACTATTAGTATAATAGATATAGGTCTAATACAATTTGAAAAATAAAAAAAGAAGAAAAAGAAAAAGAGAGATAAAAAAAGTAAATAAAAAAAGATAAAAAATAATAATAGAATAAAAGTGAATAAAATCAAAAGAAGTAAATAAGAATAAATAAAATATAAATCAAATAAAAAAGAAGAAAATAGCAATAGATAGTGATAAATAACAAAAAATAGCAAGAAAAAGAAATAAAAAAAATGTCAGGACACCAGAACCTAAACAGAATTCTGTTTCTTGAATTTAAAAGATAAGATAAAAAGAGATATAGAGAAAGAGAAAGAGTGAAGAAAGTGATTAAAGAAAAAAAAAATAAATAAAAAAGAATAAAAGTGAATGAAATCAAAAAAAGTGAATAAAAATGAATAAAAATAAATCAAATAAGAAAAAATAAAATAGCAATAGATAGCGATAAATAATAAAAATAGCAAGTAAAAGAAATAAAAAAGATGCCAGAATACTAGAACCTGGACAGAATACTGTTTCTCAGATTTAAAAGTTAAAGATGAAAAGAGATATAAGAAAGAGAAAAAGAGAAGAAAGTAATTAAAAGAGAAAAAAGTGAATGAAAGAGAAAGAAAAAGTAATTAAAAGCAATATATTAATTTTGAAGAATGCAAGAAAAAAGGTAAATAGCAGAGATAATAAATTAGATATTTTAATAACTAGATAATTTTAATCAATATATGGGGGGAGATCAATAGAAAACAGGCAAATTTTTTTTAAGTAAAATTTTTTAAAAGTTTAAATTAAAATATCTCAACAATTATCACACCAAATTTAATAAATTTTTTTTTATATTAATTCTATATAGTTGTAGAATTAAAAAAATTAAATTTGGTTTGATAATTGTTAAAATGTTTTAATTTAAAGTTTAAAAAATTTTTACTAAAAACAATTTGCCTGTTTTCTATTGACCTTTCCCTATATATTAATTTAAGCTATTTTTTTTTAATCAAAACAAAGGGTATTATATAATAATTTTTTTTTCACTGTTAAGGTGATCTCTTTGGCTAGAAACTGTTTTATTAGATATTTGAATCTTATTACAATTATAATGAAAGTACAACAAGCTACATGTGTATTTTTGTTGTCTAATTTAAGTGGTCTGCTTGAAGGTTCTACACTATTTGCCATACCTGCAACCCAACTATGGAGTTACCTATTTAAACTTTCTGGTCATAACCCAAAGCCCTTATACCCAACCTAGATATAACTTACTATTCTATATATAGATTTTGCAACATCTCTAGCTTTTAGCACCCATCTTAGAACTCCTTTCAGCTAATCCTCGAGGTAAATCTAACACTGCATAACATGTCTCACATATAATATATACTCGTTCAGTAGATATTATAAAATAATATAAGCAAAAAACTAACATTATATTATGTAAATTATTTTGATATACAGTCATCCTCCCCTATAATCACACAGTTGGGTATGTACTAATTGGGTGACTATAAAGAAGTGTGACTTAATAAAGGTTACCTCTATATAAGTACATCTTATATTAAAAATAATTAATGTGATTTAATAGAGAGAAATATATAGCATATTAAATTTTTTCGCCAACATAATTATTTATGTATGTATTTACATAACAGGTAACTATAGTGACCTTTAGAAGTTTGATCTATATCTTATTTTTCTCTACACTTGTATTTATTAGAATGTTAATCATGCTAATTATTTCTTGCATTTTAGTATCGAAGTTTCAAATAAGAGTCGACCAGAGCAGCCCTCTCAAAGTATGGATCAATGGCACAGCCCACATAGAATAACCAATCAGTGACAAACTGTAACTAATCTTGAATCAAAATTAGTTACGGCTTGTCACCGATTGGTTATTCTATACTGGGCTGCACCATTGATCTGTACTTTACTCTTCAAATAAAGCTCTTAGATCACAGGATTTGAATCATAAGTGTAGACAGTATTATTTAACTGATGGCTATGATACTGTGATTTTCTTGTTTAAGTTTGCTTACCTTTTTTCAATAAGAAGATTGTGACGACTTAAGGAAAAACTACTATGTTTAATTACTTTATTGGAGGTAAACTTTTGCATTTTTTTGAAGCAATTTTGGCTTGCAATATTGATGCCTAAAATTGATCATTTTATTATCAGGCTTTTTTTTCACACTTTCGGTATAGTAAACTTATCAAAGCCCGAATACCTTGATTTTTGAATTACGAAAGAAAATTTTTTTTCAAAATATTTTATACTGAGGATTTTTTATATAATTATCATGCAAGTTACTACAATTTTTCTCCTTAATAAAAAATATACACATGTACATATGTTATAAAAAAAAAAAAGTTACAATACATCATAATCACCTTCATTATTTAATTGTGTAAAGAAATCATTAATAGATGCTTGGCGCTTAGATTCTCTATATTTTCGGTTTAACAAAGCTAAGTATTTTTGAAAATTTTAAGATCCTTAGCTTTGAAATCTGTGTCAATTTGTTGTTCAAAAAAGCTAATAAATTTATTTAAACCTATTAGCCCTTCTGAAATAGAAATTTCTGGTTGTTCTTCATCTGAGTTATCAAGATCTCCATTTTTGCATTGATTTGCTTTATCTAAAACAATTTCAATAATTTCTAAATCTTCAAGCTTTTCCTCAGTTATTATATACAAATCACCGAGGTCTAAATATGTATTTAATTGGCTTTTAATTTTCAGATCTGGAAATTGAAAGGTCAAGTCTATTACCAAGTCATTGATATCCTCTTCTTGCTATTTTAACAACATATCCTGATTATTGATAGCAACTTCTATTTCTTCATGGGAAACTGATGATAGAATTTCAGTCTTCTTCCAACAATTGACAATTACCTGGTCTTCAACAGCATCCCAAGACTCAGATACGTAGTATATATTGTTCTTAATATTTAACTTTTTTCTAATTGAAATTGAAATATAATTAGTATTAAAACAACTATTAATTAAAGAATTAAAGAGGCAGGCATCAATAGAAATCAAGCAGATTAATATATATATTTTTTTAAAAAAATTTAATATCTTAACTTTTACAGCTCATATCTTGATGAACTCAAAGCTATTTCTGTGATTTAATAGTTAAATGAAAGATTTAAGCTTTCTTTGACAATTAAATAACAAAATTCATCAAGATATGGGCTTGTGTAAGTTGCTTGATTTATATTAATGGTGGCTCAAGGTATAAATTATTAACTTTTTTAAATCTTCATTGTTTTCAAGTTGTATTAGAATATGGTGAATATATTTTTGCTTATATTTGGATTTGAAACTTTTGATAACACCTGCATCCATAGGCTGCAGGTGTGCAGTGGTATTTGGGAGTAAAAATTCAAGTTTAATATTAGTTAATTATATATTTAAATAATTAGGAATAAAACGTGGTTACCCATAACCACTATCATAATGACCCTTACTCCTACTAGTACTATGTTTACCATGATTATCACGATTATTACGACTATTATTTGCACTCTAATTGGTTTGGGTTAATCTTGGCCGACCTCGACCTCGATGATTCCCATGTGAATTAGTTGTTACTTCAAGTTCTGAATTATTAGATGTTTCTTCATCTAAATCAGAATTTGATTCATTGATTCATATGTTTCATGCACATTAGGTTGGTTATGAAAATGTGATGAAGCATTATCTACTAACAACAAAACTTGACGATTTTGAAAGCAAAATCTCTGATCTAAATTTTTTAACCATTCAGAAAATATGTCATTTCACATCCATGCCCAGGAATTTGCATGATAAGTAACAGGTAAGGAATTATAATTAATATTATGAAGTGCACGAAGAGAAATTGAAGACCCAATTACTAATAGTTTTAATTTTTCAGTTCCTGTTGTGTTACATGTTAGCATAATAGTGATCTATGAATAATTCTAATTATTATAAAATTAAATGATTAAAATAAGAAGATTTTATTTGTACTAGTGAATAAGTTACCTGGTATATGAAAAAAAAATAAAACTCACTAATGTCTTAAAATTTATTATAAAAAACAATTTAAGCACAATTTTACAATACTTTCCTAGGGGCAAAATCTTGATTAGTACCTGGGTTTTTTACAATCATGTTTACGAAATATACTTGATTAATCTCAGGTACAAATCATGGGAATAAGCTAACAAGGGAGTATTATTTGCCGCAAATATTATAGTAAATACATTTTCATAATACTAAATCTAACTCTAGAGTTAAATATTAAATTTTTTTCATATACTGGATAACTTACTATATAGATAACAATATCATTAAATTTATTATAATTTATAATAACTAGCCTTTTTAAATCCAGGTCTTGATCGGGATGCAAGTGTTTGGTCTGGTGCCATATAGTAGAATAGCCCTGTCTCATCTGCGTTAAACACATTATCCAATATATAATTTTCAATCAACTCACGCAATTTTTCTCTATATTCCGGAAGTGACGATAGTGGTGCGCTGTTGGCTTCTCCATATAATCTAAAATTTTTTAGATTATTGCACTGTTTAAATTTATGAATCCATCGATTGAAAAATTTTAAAGCATCATCGCCTAGACCCAAGGCATTTGCAAATAAAGCCACCTTTTCTTTAATTATTAATTCCATTAGAATCACTTCACTATTGGTAATTTGTTCAACCCAGAGTCTCATTGATTGATCTAATAAAGGATATTTTACTTGTTTATGCTGAAAGACTGTAGAACTTAATTGGTCTTCTATAACTGCTAACCATTTTGACTTATCCTTTAATATCTTTGAAATAGTGGTCTAATCCAAATTTAAGTTGGGGTCTTGAGAATTGAAATGGTCAGCAATATCTATTTGCCTTTTGTTGGGATTATTTTGACTATATTCACATATTTCTCATTTCAAATGCTTACTAACAGCTGTTCTCAGTCTTTTTTGTAGTAAATTTTTAGATGACATTAAGTATTTACTCAAATTTTATTTAAAGTGATTTATAAAACTAATAGCTCTTTTATATTTAAAATACATATAAGGCCTATTAATCTTTTAATGACTATCTAAAAGTATATAAACAATGCCAAGTAAGTTGGAATTTTAAGTATTATTGATAATT